ACCCCTTCTCGCTTTCACAAGTGAGCTGAGCTGAGTGAGCTGAGTGTTCGTCTCGCGTGTTATACATTTAAGGGTGTATGTTTGCATTGTGAACCAAGCCACACACCTATTGCTTACGTTTCTTAACAGCAAAACACACGTAAGTATACACTATACTAAAAATAGCCCCAGCTTGAACTATCATTACAGTGCATTCTTATACATAGTATCTTGTGTCTATATGACGGCAACGCACGCAGACGTCCCTGAGACCGCTAAACACTTCCGCACCGCGTGTAACGCTATGGACCCCGTTGGGAGTAGATCCAGCGATGTCATCATCGTACCGTGCTTACCTACCTACATTCAGTTGTTGTCAGAGTGATTTTTTTAAACTGTGTTGACGACTTTGAAAAGTCACACTGCCAAGTCACACCGAAAAACACAAAAAGACATTAAAACGTTGATCACTTGTATCATATCGTGAGAAAAGGTTTACTGTTGATTCTATATTTGGGGAAATCCCTTTTACATAAGCCATGTCGTTGGCGTAGAGTGCAGATGTGGGCGGAAAGCGGAGTACGACACACGAGCCTTTACTCGTGGGAGTTTCAATAGTGTTGTATAAGGCTGCTGTAAAAACACTGTGCTGGCTGATAACGATATTCTGGTTAGAAAAAAAAAATCACAAAAAATCGTGTCATCCCACAAAGCCCGACACTTCAGCTGTGAAGCAGAAGCGACACCCACGGGTTGCGAGGCTGGTGTCCACAGCCGGGTTTCCAACACAGGAATAGGAAGTTCAGATTACAATAAGGAATTGATTTTCCCTTTGTATTATGATAAACCACCCTCTTATATGTGATTAAAAGGGACTATATATAAACCCTTTCCATAATCATAAGAAATTTGTGCTAAAGGCGCAGTCCATTGTACGATTCCGACTACATTATAAGCATGTGTCTATGAATCGCTATCAAAGAGCTAGTGATGACACCAGGGATCGCGAGTGAGTGAGTGAGTGAGTGAGTATGGTTTTACGCCGCTTTTAGCAATATTCCAGCAATATCACGGCGGGGGACACCAGAAATGGGCTTCACACATTGTACCCATGTCGGGATTCGAACCCGGGTCTTCGGCGTGACGAGCGAACGCTTTAACCACTAGGCTACCCGACCGCCCCCAGGGATCGCGAAAATCCGAAGTTGTGATTATAAACCTAAAAACATGTGCCCCCTTATATATCAATAGTTTAACGCCCTTTCTATATATAGAGAGAGGATAGTACGTGATTGTCGTGTGTTTATTAAAGGTAGAGTGGTTGTCTTGTGGTGTTTATAGTATAGAGAGAGTGGTTGACTTGTAGTGTTTAGTATAGAGAGAGTGGTTGTCATGTAATGTTTAGTATAGAGAGAGTGGTTGTCATGAAGTGTTTAGTATAGAGAGAGTGGTTGTTATGTAGTGTTTAGTATAGAGAGAGTGGTTGTCATGTAGTGTTTAGTATAGAGATAGTGGTTGTTATGTAGTGTTTAGTATAGAGAAAGTGGCTGTCATGTAGTGTTTAGTATAGAGATAGTGGTTGTCTTGTAGTGTTTAGTATAGAGGGAGTGGTTGTTATGAAGTGTTTAGTATAGAGAGAGTCGTTGTTATGTAGTGTTTAGTATAGAGATAGTGGTTGTCTTGTAGTGTTTAGTATAGAGGGAGTGGTTGTTATGAAGTGTTTAGTATAGAGAGAGTGGTTGTTATGAAGTGTTTAGTATAGAGATAGTGGTTGTCTTGTGGTGTTCTGCATAGAGAGAGTGGTTGTCTTGTAGTGTTTTGTATAGAGAGTGGTTGTCTTGTAGTGTTTAGTATAGAGAGAGTGGTTGTCTTGTGTTTATAGTATAGATAGAGTGGTTGTCATGAAGTATTTAGTATAGAGAGAGTTGTTGTTATGAAGTGTTTAGTATAGAGATAGTGGTTGTCTTGTAGTGCTTAGAATAGAGAGAGTGATTGTTATGTAGTGTTTAGTATAGAGAGAGTGGTTGTCTTGTGGTGTTTATAGTATAGAGATAGTGGTTGTCTTGTAGTGTTTAGTATAGAGATAGTGGTTGTTATGTAACGTTTAGTATGGAGATAGTGGTTGTCATGTAGTGTTAAGTATAGAGAGAGTGGTTGTCTTGTGGTGTTTATAGTATAGAGAGAGTGGTTGTCATGTAGTGTTAAGTATATAGAGAGTGGTTGTCTTGTGGTGTTTATAGTATGGAGAGAGTGGTCGTCTTGTAGTGTTTAGTATGGGGAGAGCGGTTGTTATGTAGTGTTTAGTATGGAGATAGTGGTTGTTATGTTGTGTTTAGTATAGAGAGAGTGGTTGTCTTGTAGTGTTTTGTATAGATAGAGTGGTTGTCTTGTAGTGTTTAGTATAGAGAGAGTGGTTGTCTTGTAGTGTTTAGTATAGTGATAGTGGTTGTTATGTAGTCTTTAGTATGGAGAGAGTGGTTGTCATTTAATGTTTAGTATGGAGATAGCGGTTGTCATGTAGTGTTCAGTATAGAGAGAGTGGTTGATATAGTGTCGAATATATTTATTTTATGAAATAAACACAATGTAGAAACGTATTCAAAAGCAAGTCCAGCCAGCTCTAGCTGGCTCTATTCCACATGAATCAGCATCGGGAAAATTATTTTTGTATTTTTAGAATCAAGAAGGGCATGGTGTAATATAAGATTTCATAGACTAAATGTTAGCACTCACTGCCACGGATAATAAACCATCATTGCGTGCACACATTCTGCAACGTTCATAATAAGAAACTTGTAATCACGAGATTACAATGACATTGATGTTGACATAATTATAAAGATATAACATAGTTACGTCTATATGAGCAGATGTTGGCGAATACAATTTCCACGTGGACCTTGAAAACTGACACAATATAAACATCCTTCTGAGACAAGACAGCTGACATTTATTAGTTCACGTGTCAAAGGTCATGTCACTTTCATGGCTACCTCTCTTACGGATCACCATGTTTGTGTTTTATCTGCGTCTTTCAATACACGTAATAAACATCTTTGAAGTGTTTGTTGTAAACAGCGGTCTCAGCTCAAATAGTACTGGCAAGACACTGTTGAAATCAACAACGGTGTTCGGTTCTTGTACACGACCATGCTTTTCAGACAGAGAATCCACGTGGCGGGCGATATTTTTTATTTATACCCAAAGGCAAAGTAGATGGATCATGTTCAAGGGCGGATCCAGCTTTTTTAAAAGGGAGGGGTCCAAAAACTCAAACTCCTCTCTCAGTCAAATTTACTGCCTACAAAATACTCCGCAATGATGTTCTAATTTTAATTTTGTATTTTTTAAGAAACCATATGACTCTAAACTCTTTGGGAATTTGAAGTGCAGTCAAAATGGATCAAAATGGAACTTTTCGCGTGTGCCTTTTTCAGCCAAACACACATCAAACGATATCAATCTATGTCTGTCTTGACATGTGTTTTGTTAAAGATTGATCAAACTGTTAAACCATGCATTTTCCATATCATCATAAATATAATCAATTTTCCGTTATCAGTTCGTTCATACAGACAGATCACAGACACGTTTGCCTTTTAATATATATTTGCATTAATTGCTAATATTCCACAAATGAAAAGTGCATTGTTTGCATAAATGACAATTCATGCTTCTTGCCTAGGGACATAAGGAAGAAACATCGTCTGAATTTGTTCAAGCATGAGACGCCCAAGGCCTCATTCATCATAAAATACTCCCTTCTGTGTCGTCCGCGTTTAAGGTTATTCCCGAGTACATTTTTTGCGTGTCATTTTGGTATGAAGTGTAACTTTGTGTTGCAACCTAAATAAATTCTTTTTATAAATTTATCTTAAACCGTTTATGAATAACCATAGAGGTTGTAAATTTTAAAAAAATAATTGTTCCCAGAGCAACATGACATTTCATCATCGGAGCGCCACGGAGTGCACTAGAAAACGGATGTTAAGTGATATCGACATATAGGTCATCTGTCATCTTTTACTGCGCTGTAAGACGAGAATTAATGTCAAAACAACAAGCGATGAACTCGCCATCACTAATATGTGTCGGTCACCCCGGGCAGATTTTGGTACATTAACATTTAAACTCATGTATGGAAATCGGTGACAACATCTGTCGTGTGAGCACAATATATTGAAGGGAACATGTTTGTCAGTTAGAGTGACGCAACCTGGTTGTTTGTTTCGCTGACGTTTTGACCGAATTACAGCGCAGGACATAGTAAAGTGATATTATGTTGAAATTTAAGACGACAAGTGGAGATAATGCATATTTCTCTAAGGGAGAACTTACATAGTTGGTAATCTATACGCTTCAGTGATTCATTAACATCGATAGTACCATCTTCCCGAGACAAGCGTGTCCACTAGCCCATATCAAAGCTAACAAGATTTTGATAATAAAATAAGGCTTGTAGACGCTTTTGCCTCGGGAAGATGATATAGTACAAATGAGTGAAAATATCGGATTAATGAACACATAGTGAGAGTGTATTCCATATAGAACAAAGGCCAAAATACAAAACAATTAAAAAATATACCTTATGCGCATGTTTGTAGCATGGACAGATAGTTACTTCACACCCGTCCCCAACCCACCCAAAAACCAGGCCCACGACCCCCAGTGATTACATAGATAACAGCTATATTTCAAAGTTTGCTCATTGATATAAGAATTTATAATTATCTCTAACTTTGATCGTATGAAATATGTATTTAGATAAATTATGAATAATTTTTGGACGTTCAAAGTAATAAATTGTGACACACTTGGAAATATACATAAATATTCCGATAGGTATTCCTGTCTCCAAGTAATATAATGTGGACACACCATAACATCATGATATTCATCTTCCAATTCATTAATACAGATTTAATGCATCATTTTACAAACTGGATCAAAACTATGCCATTATGGTGAATGCTTGACTATATGTCATACCATGTGTGTCTTACTTATGTACCGCAGAAATATTATAGTAGCCGAAAGAGTGAGGTTCGGGTGGAGCTTGGGGTTGTGAATAAGAGGTGGTGGTGGGGGTGTGACTGAGGAGGGGTGGAGCGGTGGGATGAGACGACGTGTGAGTGGCGGCGGTGGAGCGGTTGGGTGAGAGGGCGTGTGAGTGGCGGCGGTGGAGCGGTGGGGTGAGAGGGCGTGTGAGTAGTGGCGGTGGAGCGGTGGGGTGAGATGACGTGTGAGAGGCGGCGGTGGAGCGGTGGGGTGAGAGGACGTGCGAGTGGCGGAGGTGGAGCGGTGGGGTGATGGGCGTGTGAGTGGCAGCGGTGGGGTGATGGGCGTGTGAGTGGCAGCGGTGGAGCGGTGGGGTGAGAGGGCGTGTGAGAGGCGGCGGTGGAGCGTTGGGGTGAGAGGACGTGTGAGTGGCGGCGGTGCACGGAGCGGTGGGGTGAGAGGACGTGTGAGTGGCGGCGGTGGAGCGGTGGGGTGAGAGGGCGTGTGAGTAGTGGCGGTGGAGCGGTGGGGTGAGAGGACGTGTGAGAGGCGGCAGTGGAGCGGTGGGGTGAGAGGACGTGCGAGTGGCGGAGGTGGAGCGGTGGGGTGATGGGCGTGTGAGTGGCAGCGGTGGGGTGATGGGCGTGTGAGTGGCGGCGGTGCACGGAGCGGTGGGGTGAGAGGGCGTGCGAGTGGCGGAGGTGGAGCGGTGGGGTGATGGGCGTGTGAGTGGCAGCGGTGGGGTGATGGGCGTGTGAGTGGCAGCGGTGGAGCGGTGGGGTGAGAGGGCGTGTGAGTGGCGGCGGTGAGCGTTGGGGTGAGACGACGTGTGAGTGGCGGCGGTGGAGCGGTGGGGTGAGAGGGCGTGTGAGTGGCGGCGGTGGAGCGGTGGGGTGAGAGGGCGTGTGAGTGGCGGCGGTGGAGCGGTGGGGTGAGAGGGCGTGTGAGTGGCGGCGGTGGAGCGGTGGGGTGAGAGGGCGTGTGAGTGGCGGCGGTGGAGCGGTGGGGTGAGAGGGCGTGTGAGTGGCGGCGGTGGAGCGGTGGGGTGATGGGCGTGTGAGTGGCAGCGGTGGAGCGGTGGGGTGAGATGACGTGTGAGTGGCGGCGGTGCACGGAGCGGTGGGGTGAGAGGGCGTGTGAGTGGCAGCGGTGGAGCGGTGGGGTGATGGGCGTGTGAGTGGCAGCGGTGGAGCGGTGGGGTGAGAGGGCGTGTGAGTGGCGGCGGTGCACGGAGCGGTGGGGTGATGGGCGTGTGAGTGGCAGCGGTGGAGCGGTGGGGTGAGAGGGCGTGTGAGTGGCGGCGGTGCACGGAGCGGTGGGGTGAGAGGGCGTGTGAGTGGCGGCGGTGCACGGAGCGGTGGGGTGAGAGGTCGTGTGAGTGGCGGCGGTGGAGCGTTGGGGTGAGAGGACGTGTGAGTGGCGGCGTTTGAGCGGTGGGGTGATGGGCGTGTGAGTGGCAGCGGTGGAGCAGTGGGGTGAGAGGGCGTGTGAGTGGCGGCGGTGGAGCGTTGGGGTGATGGGCGTGTGAGTGGCAGCGGTGGAGCAGTGGGGTGAGAGGGCGTGTGAGTGGCGGCGGTGGAGCGGTGGGGTGAGAGGACGTGTGAGTGGCGGCGGTGCACGGAGCGGTGGGGTGAGAGGGCGTGTGAGTGGCGGCGGTGGAGCGGTGGGGTGAGAGGTCCAAGAAAATGTTTATTTGGGATTTGTTTTGTATAGGGCATGGTTGGGTAGTGTAGTGTATAATTCCGGGTCTGGGTAGGTCGTCAGTAGCCTAGCTTTGCTAGTCTAATGCCGAACATTAAAGGTAAGTAATGCATAACTGGCTTGGCTTGCTGACGAAATCAAGTTGGGTTTGATGAAACACTTCTCTACCTACAACTATCGTGAAGCAAACTATTTGACGTCGCACCAACGTTTCAGAAACGTAGTTACGAAACAAGGTTGTGTGATGTCCAAGCATGCGTTGAGGTGTACATTTACATTAACGTGGCGTTGCATCTGAACGCAACAGTTCATCACAGTGAAATTTCAAACCATGCATAAATAGTACGTGATGCATATAGGAAGCCAACATATAGGGAAACTCAAAATCATTAACGAAATTGTGCTAAGAAAACGCTGAAAAATGCCCTAGAGACAGTATCTAAATGAAAATGAACAGCCAAAATGGCGAATTGTAGTTAGGATAGATCCTAGTTGCCTGAATTTTGGCAAATAAAAAAATGTAATATTTCGACTGTGGGACAAGTACTGTCACGCGGTCGGGGTTGCTATGAGACAGGCAGGCCTAAAACGACACATAGACAATATCTCCTCATTACATTAATTGCACTACGCAATAGATCAAATCCGCCCCTCTAATCAATTCCGAACAATAACAGGAAGGCGAATTTCAACATCTACCGTTTAAACCGACTCTAAGCAACCCATCTGAAAGCTAGGCGTCATGTGCATGTATAAGCGAAGGTCTGTTTCTCATATCTGACACTCCCATTGTACCCGCTTTACAAACAAAGTTCACCTATTTAGATTGATAGATTATGTGATGAGAAAGAATAATTCTTTTCACTGCGGTCACCCTGAAATCCAAGATGGCCGCCAATATGGCCGCCACTTTTCTACCTAACCTGTTAACTTCACTATATATCCTATGTGTGATCCAAACAGCTTACCATAGGCGGCAAAGATTTGGGTGGGAATGGCAACGCCTGGGACGGGCTGTGTGTCAATGACATTACACCATCTTCACAGACGAATCAAGGGTTTCCCTCCTCACAGATGGCAGGGGTAGCTCTTCAGGCGGAATGGTGGGAGTACCAAGGGCAGCTATAGGCAAATTAATCAACAGTGGCGTGCATGTATCGCCCAACATGGTGGACAAGCCAGATATTGATCTACACGCCCGAAATTAATTTAACAGACATTTATCGTCATTACATCTTCATTATCATTTTATCGGTGTTATATATTAACCACATATAATTAGTGTTTTACTTATCCCAGCAGCGATTTACAGAGGAATTATTTTTGTTTTTATTTATCATTTCTCCATTAGGTGCATATGATCTGTAATTTCTCTTGTCTTATAGTTTATTTTACATTGTAAATATACTTATTTGGTAAGAGAATGTAGACGTCACCTAAATTACATCATTAGCAATTATATTTGTTTGTTGTTTAACGCCGCAGTCAGCAATATTCCAGCTATATGACGGCGGTCTGTATAAATAATCGAGTCTTGACCAGATAATCCAGTGGTTGACATCATGAGCATCGATCTACGCAATTGGGATACGATGACATGCGTCAGCCAAGTCAGCGAGCCTGACCACCCAATCTCGTTAGTCGCCTCTTACGGCGTAAAATGACGTTTCGTTCCACATGGCCAAAACAGTTGATCCGAGATCACAACTGCTTTTCTCAGCGTGAATTAATGAGCATAATTTCCCCGCTATCCATGTCTCCATTGTTAATATATCCGATGGTTGTAGAGTTTAAAATATATCATCATAATAAAGGGAACAGACCAAAAGGTTAAAAGGGCCCCAAATCCAAGACAAAACGGACCCACCAAAGTAAAAAAGGACACGCGAATAAGCATAAAAATAAAGCATAAATAGTGTTAGTTTCAAGTTGTTGTTCTATATATTCAGAGATTTAAAACATACAAAATGTATACTTTTCTATTTAAAACACCCCCTGTTTTGGTTTGTGACCGTTTGACTTTTAGGTGTGGCCATATGGACCCTGGGGATTGTGGACTGTATAACCCGTAATAGCTTGTTTGTTTGTTTGTTGTTTAACGCCGCACTCAGCAATATTCCAGCTATATGACGGCGGTCTGTAAATAATCGAGTCTGGACCAGACAACCCAGTGATTGACATCATGAACATCGATCCACGCTTGAAGACCTTTTCTATCCAGGATCTTCACGAGTCTAAAAACCCGTAATGAAGACGTATGCTGTTTGACAAATTGAATGTTTTGTTATCATGTAATGTTCTTTTTTATTTGGAATATGTGTCGTTAATGGCGTTATGTTATATGTTACAGTATTTTAAGATTAAAAAAACACAGTTTAAAATTCAACCCAACTGTTCGTTATAGGGCGTACATTTCAATTAATGAGTCGCATTCCTTAGTGGTACGGAGGCTATCGTTGGACAATATATAGAGAGAGTTGTCTCCCCTGAAAAGAATCCGGAAATACGTCAAGGCGCAAAATAGAGCCTGATTCAAACTAAGTCAGCTGTTTACCAGACGTGAAGACGGTACCATATGTGACAACAGCTTATAGGTATGAATTGGAAAATACATGCAGTTGCTTTAAATGTGTTAGTATGTACCTGAAACTGGCATCTGTGAGACCAGAGACCATATAATACGGTCTCTGGTGTGAGTCTGTGACTAACTTCTGAGTAGTCTGTAACTATAGGGGTTCAAACCGTAGCTAAAACCTTTTAAACTTGTAATTACTAGAATGAAGTTGTTATTACGAGTTCTTAAAGTCGTATTTCTATAAAGTACGGAAGCCTATTGGGGTCAAAACCGCACAACTATTCTATTTTTTCTAATGAAAGTCTTCATTACGAGTTGTTAAAGGGGCACTGATCTAACGCAATTCCCCGGACTGGTTGTTGCCTTTGTTATTGTTTTTTCCCCCGTGAGTACCCGGATGATACGCAACGCAACTGAGCGTGACCAGAGACTGGGCTACCGTCTGCAAGGACAGCTAAATAAACTTGGAGGCTGGAGGCAATATTTGTTTTACGCATTTTTGCATAAACACTGATTGGTTAACTGTGATCTATACAGATTTCGACAAAGGGCGCATGTTAATTAATTTCTTCAGCCTAAACAAGCAGACAAAAAGAACAGCGGAGCTCATCGGATGTCGTCATTTGGAAATACCCCAGATGGTTATAGTTTTATACTAAAAAAGGTATCCATGCAGTGAAAGCATTTTCGGATTTCGGCTTGCGTCGATAATACGATTACTACTCCCTTGTTGACATCCACGTTTTCTCGTATAACCCTTCACTAGTGTATTTGTCGTCATCCACTTGATGCTCAGTTAATGAATTTATTACAGGTACAATTAGTGGTAGCACCACTTAGATTACCTGACAAAGGTTCCCATTTGGCATTTATTGTGTCTGGGGTAATTATTCAATCTAAATCCAGGTTTGAAGTGAGGTGAAATGTGTGTTATGTAATATGCACGTGGCAGCCCAGCAAGAGATGAATGATCAGTTGATTTATTTTTTTGTAAATCAACGGAACGTTCCTAGTCATCAAAGGATTAACAGAAAATACGTTGATTGATTAATCACTGTTATCTTGCACAGTGGATATGTCAAGAGTGAGTGTTTACATGTCTAGGTTTACTAAAACAAAGGGAATACACTCATACCATGGCGTGAAGTGCCGATGTAAAAACAACATACTTTGTTCAAAGGGTTAACTTATAATACGTTGATTGATTGATCATTGTTATCTATCACTCAATGGATTTTTTAGGAACCGTGAACGTTATGAAAATAGTTGTCACGTGGGCTTTCTCAGCCGACCATTGAGACTTGACACCTATGTAAAACACCTGAAACAATCCAAGTGATCAGTTGAGAAACGAACAGGGGTTATAATATCCCAAAACGACATATATCTTTTAAAATATTTGATTGTTACTGAGACACGTGACATCGAATAAGTTTCTTTGTACAACTGCAGACGAGTATGATATTGTTCCTTTGTGTGGATATTCACGGATACATTCCTCGAACAAGGACGCTGCCTAAAATTTATACACATAAATTTGGTAGGTTGTATTTATGATATTTGCATTTTGTTTTTCTTCCTTTGAACCGATTCGTTCTTGTTTCTCTACGTCTTGGTTGGGAAATTCTTCAATGCGCGATAGACGTTGTTTTCACAGGTCTTTTCCTTTGTGGGCGTGTATATATTACCGTCAATTTGTAAAATGTGATTCTCTCAGGCAATTTATAAAATGTGTAAATATTTCAGTCATTTTGACTAAAAAATCTGTCCAGATTGATTAAGACGATCAAAAAGGCCTACAAACATCACAACAGATTATTATGTAGGATTAGAAGCCAAACAACATAGAAATGTACTTTTCTCAACGTAACAGTTTCAGTCTCTTGGTGATGACATAAAACATCAAAATGTTTGGAATTCGTTATCATAATAATACAGATGGAAATGTTTTTCAGTCACTTTGTAAAATAACTGAATATTTAGACGTTTAATAAATTTGTTACACATTTGACAGTAAAAAAAAATACACACTATAAAAAAAGCAATGCTCAGGTGAAATATGTAATTTGTGTTGCAAGTCAAAATAGTGTAAACGAAAATCGCAAAATTACCAAGCAAGTGACTTATCAAAACTTCGTCACCATTACCGATGCTACCCACAAAGATACCTACATTTCCTTATTATCTCGAAAACTGTATTTCATTTTGTTCATCAATGTGACCATACGCCCTTATTACTACCCATAAAAGCGACTAATGCGCTTACGAATGGCGCAGCAGAGGTCGCGAACTAGTCTAGATTTCTGCTATACATCCGGGTACTCACTGGGAAAAAACAATAACAAAGGCAACAACCAGTCCCGGGGAATTGCGTTAGATCAGTGCCCCTTTAAAGTCGTGAAAATGAGAATAAGGTAGTTATAACAAGTTCATAAAGTCGGAACAATGAGTTACTTAAATTACCGGAATACAGTCAGTATTCAGAGTTCTTATGAGCATGATGAGTGAGTGCACGAGTAAGTATGGTTTTACACTAGCAGCTTTTAGCATTATTCCAGCAATATCATGGTGGGTGACACCACAAATGGGCTTCACACATTGTACCCATGTTCGGAATCAAACGTGTCTTTCGCGTGACAAGCAAACGCTTTAACCACCAGGCTACCTGACCGCCCCTGAGTTATGAAGTATATAGCAGTTAATAGAACAATGTTAGTAAATTTCATGTATTTCATGAATTTATATGTACGGAAACCTATTGGTCAAAGCCGCACATTTGTTTTCTTTTGTCTGAAAGTTTTAACTGATTAGGATAATTCATCGATTTGTGAGAAAAGACACAATATTTCTGTGTCAGAAATTGATGTTTAACCATATTCTCCTACAGGTGACAAGAGTTAATCCAGCTGTCAACACGATGCATGGTCAGTCATCAACTTGCACTGGGATTGAACACAAAGTTCAACAGAGGTCACTGGAATGGTTTTCACTGCGTAGAAACACACTGATCACAGCATCACAATTTGGAGATGTCATTGGAGTTGGAAGAGGGAAGCCATTTGACTTCTTCCTGTCTCTCATTTCAGAAGATTCAATATTCGAGCTGGATGACAATCTGATGTCCCATCTACAACATGGCATAGACACGGAAATCATTATTAAAGAAGCTTATGAAATGTTGACAGGGAACAGTGTGCGGGATTCAGGATTCTGGGTTCCAAACAAAGACAGCCCTTTGAAAACTCTGATTGGTGCTTCCCCAGATGGTGTGGTTGTTGATAGAGATTGTCCTGAGAATATTATTGGACTTACAGAGTTTAAAGCCCCTGTGCATAAGATGTACTCTGGAAACGATTTGGACTACGGTATACCCAGGCAATACATGGCCCAGATTCAGGGTCAGATGGCAGTGGTTGGTGCCCCCTGGTGTGACTTTTTAGCAGTGTGTACAAAAACAAGGGAGATAATGCTGAAAAGAGTGCACTTTCATCCCCTGTACTGGCTCCATGTGTCGGATGTCATAAGGCAGTTCTGTCATACATTGCAGGTATCCTTATACAGCTTATTACTTTGGGCAAGGTCTTGGACCGGAGGATCCAGACATCACATTAACATCATCTCTACTGCAGTGAATGCACAAAAGCACTAGGTCTCACGTGTTGCAACTTAGACATATATATCGCTGTTGTGGGTTTATACACGAGACATGTGGCACTTATGAACATTTGCAAATTAGAAGTCACCCGATACAGCATTATAAGTAGAAATATTTTTCAGAAAGGTCTACTCATTGGTTAAGGAATGCCTAGTGGGCTGGGCCCAAGGGAGTGGAAACATTGAATGCTCAAAGAAAACTATCACTAACCTATGTGAATGGTAACATGATAAATGCTTGATGGTTAAAAACATCATCTGGAGCCCTGTAGAGAGAACACAATATGCCATAAGTGGTTCACTCACTAGGCTACAAATAAAAAGGTTGGAGGTTCAATCCCACTAAATATAGGCAACATTTGTGACCCACCAGGAGAAAAGGGACCTTGTGGGTGCTAGGATACAATTGTGCTCATAAAAAAAGATGTTTGACATCAATTAACTTACTTCCGTAAAAATCACCATGTGTGTGGACTGTACAATAATATCATATTTTTCTCTCGTTAGTTCGTAATGTAATAAAAACATTATTTCAAAACATTTGAGCATAGATGTCAATTAATCAGACATTATATCTAAAAACTACAATCATTACATAAACAGTTATTATTCTGAAAAAAGGACTTTTCAGAAAATGAGTACAAATGTTTGATGCATATGTATCTATGTAATAAATATGAATTGAAGCTCATGAATATTATTTTTGTGCTCCTAGGATACTCTTGTTTGAAGATTAATAAAAAGGCAAAATGTGATTTTTTCACCCATAAGGTTTCCTTATCTCAGGGTTGGTCACATTTGTTGTTTGATTTTGCATCATTCTGCACATTTCTTTAAGTTAGCATTGTACTGTGTGATGTGTAGATAAAATATATGTCTAACGAGGATAGTGGAACTTTCTATAGAATATTCCTGGGACAGGTCGACATTCTATAGAATATCCCGGGACAGAGGGATATTCTGTCGAAAGTCCCTCAGTCCAAGGGATATTCTGCAGACAGTAGGGCTGGGACAGGTAACTGGGGTACTTGGGTACCATTGGACTACCCGGATATATTCAATGACAAAAATTCACTGACTCCATGGTTACTTTTTGCGAGGGCTCCAGTAAAACAATTCCCCAGCAGACATTTTGTACCCAACTCTAGAGACCTACAGCAGGTACCCGGGCAGTAAATTTGGACTTGTCCCAGCCCTAATAGGAAGCCCCCGCTATGAGGTTATTGAACGAAAAGACGGTTCTGTACTTGCGTGAAACATGACTGCCCCGTCATCTAGTCCCCATTTGTCGAAATCTTTTTCCTGTTACAGGAATCCCAGGTGAGGGAGACTTTCGGACAAGATCCTTTAGAATCTCTGTCCGCGAAGAAGCTAAGGACAATACCGATGCACAGACCCAAGTTCCCGGGGGAGGACAGCATCACTGTGGTGGACCTTCTGGAACAGAAAGATGGGATGTTCCGCGGGCCCTCCAAGGTGTTCATGTCATTTGACCTACTTATGGGTTACCCCTGTAACCAAGGTAACTCAAGCCTGAATATAGACCATGTGTTGGAGAGGATAGACAGCCAGATACATAATCCTCCACCAAGTCGAGTTGTGTGATCCTGTACATGTATTTAAGATGTAATTTATATTTATTCAGATTTTAAGTGATGAATATTATCATTTTATCCAGTTACTGTGACCTATTTTATTATTGTTATTTCAATAATTTGTTCAATAAACTATTAATACATGTTCAAGATACCATTGATTTTGTTTTCTTGAAGGATAACAAATATATATACAAAATATCAAGTTACTAGTAATCAGGCTAAAGACTATTTTTACTTTAATTCATGAATTGTATTATCGTGGCTTGCCATTACTTCAGTTTTTGTATTATCGTGGCTTGCCATTACTTCAGTAATGGCATTATCGTGGCTTGCCATTACTTCAGTAATTGTATTATCATGGCTTGCCATTGCTTCAGTAATTGTATTATCATGGCTTGCCATTACTTCAGTAATTGTATTATCATGGCTTGCCATTACTGCAGTAATTGTATTATCATGGCTTGCCATTACTTCAGTAAATGCATTATCATGGCTTGCCATTGCTTCAGTAGTTGTATTATCATGGCTTGCCATTACTTCAGTAGTTGTATTATCATGGCTTGCCATTGCTTCAGTAAATGCATTATCATGGCTTGCCACTGCTTCAGTAATTGTATTATCATGGCTTGCCATTACTTCAGTAGTTGTATTATCATGGCTTGCCATTGCTTCAGTAAATGCATTATCATGGCTTGCCATTGCTTCAGTAGTTGTATTATCATGGCTTGCCATTGCTTCAGTAATTGTATTATCATGGCTTGCCATTGCTTCAGTAGTTGTATTATCATGGCTTGCCATTGCTTCAGTAATTGTATTATCATGGCTTGCCATTGCTTCAGTAGTTGTATTATCATGGCTTGCCATTGCTTCAGTAAATGAATTATCATGGCTTGCCATATCTTCAGTAGTTGTATTATCATGGCTTGCCATTGCTTCAGTAAATGCATTATCATGGCTTGCCATTGCTTCAGTAGTTTTATTATCATGGCTTGCCATTGCTTCGGTAATTGTATTATCATGGCTTGCCATTGCTTCAGTAGTTGTATTATCATGGCTTGCCATTACTTCAGTAGTTGTATTATCATGGCTTACCATTACTTTAGTAATTGTATTATCATGGCTTGCCATTACTTCAGTAATTGTATTATCATGGCTTGCCATTGCTTTAGTAATTGTATTATCATGGCTTGCCATTGCTTCAGTAGTTGTATTATCATGACTTGCCATTAGTTCAGTAATGTTATTATGGAGAGGTTATAGTGGTGCATATTTACCCCCTTGGTGCTTCCACAAACATGGGTCATATAACAGAGCTGGCTATAGGCTGATAATCAAGGTGAGTCTGGGAGTCGAACACACAGAAAAGGTGAAATGGGGTTTAATGTCGCATTCAAGATTATTGCACTTGTAAAGTAGTGTGTATGCATGCTTGTACTTGGACTAATGCAAGTTTTATAGTGCTAGATCACTGAAATACCATGTCTCAGTTTAACATGGATACCCCACACAGACAAAATACACTGACGAGCTGACCAATTTTTTTTTTTCCCTGTAATGGCATGCGTCGGACAGAGAAACAAGTACAATCTGTTAACATCTAAACCGAAGGCGTTCTCCCCAACACCAATTCAGCAGATCCTTACATGATGAAGGGACACAACTAGGTACAGAGACTCTTGTGCCACACTGTCACATCACACTCCTATATGATGTGGCTGGCTGGCTGTAGGCTGCGCCCTGCACTGTTCTCTACAAGTGTGTAAACATTGAAGGCTAAATCATGTCCATTTTTTTATATCCTCTTTAATAAGTGAGTGAGTGAGTATGGTTTAACGCCGCTTTTAGCAATATTCCAGCAATATCACGGCGGGGGACACCAGAAATGGGCTTCACACATTGTACCCATGTCGGGAATCGAACCCGGGTCTTCGGCGTGACGAGCGAATGCTTTAACCACTAGGCTACCCGACTGCCCCCCTCTTTAATAACATTTAATGTTACCCACAGGTGAAGAATTAACTAGTGTAATAGCTTCGTGATATTTGCTCCAGTGTAATATTTCAATAACATTTTGTTTCCAAAATGTTTTTGCTTGTTGTTTAACACTGCACTCAGCAATATTCCAGCTATATGACGGTGGTCCGTAAATAATCGAGTCTGGACCAGACAATCCAGTGATTGACATGAGCATCGATCCACCCAATTGGGATACTATGACATTCATCAACCAAGTCGGTGAGTCCGACCACCCGATCCCGTTAGTCGCCTCTTATGAGAAGCATAGTCGCCTTTTACGGCAAGCATGAGTTGCTATATAGACTTGTACAGAAACTGACATTGTTTACCTGATGACCTTTCTAAAGCAGAGGTTATTGGACAAGTTCAGTTGCTTTGTTTTTCTGCATCAAAAATGACTCGGTACAAGCAACAATCCAATGATGTTCTTGAACCACATTTTCAGCAATAATTGGTGGTATCCTACACATTTATAAAAATGGGATCAGTGTCATAATATGTCAATATTTAGAAGGATACATGAAAGTTTGGGATATGAACAGAGAAATGACATAATCAATTATCCAGGGTATATCAGTCTGGCATACAGACCCTGAAACAAATATGTCCAATACAGCCCATGCAACATCACGCAGTATCTGAAAATGAAGAGTCCCTGAGCGCCTCTTTATTATATAACTATGATAATCATAAACTGTTTTTTTTATATGTAAAATATGTTCATTTCAGAGACTAGATGTTAGTTGAAGAGTATATATTCTCAGTTGAATGCTTCTTCACAGCCAAACTCAATCAGAAGAGGCATTTTGATTGTTTTGTTGGTGATAAGAGATGGAGCAGGTGACGTCTGTTGGAGAAAAAGCTATGGTTGTGACTAGGTTCAGGACACCGTTTCACAAATCTATAATAGCGCTACGACCTTAAGTCTATGTTTAAATATAGGAGTTACGATAGTCGTAGCGTTACGATTGCTTTGCGAAATGGGGCCCAGGGTATTGATCATAATAGAAAGGAGATGCAACACCCTGGATCCTTGCGGATGAAGGAAGGGTTGATGTTTCCAGGTGTGAATACAGTGTATGGTGAATTCTGCACTCGGAGGCCGCTGAGACAAGAGAAATAAGGACCAAGCCCATCTTGCATTTTGAGATTTTTTAATCATACAAAACATACGAAAATATACACCCGAAAAATCTCAAAATTTAATTAGGGAAAGTTCATAACCAAGATACAAATTGCTTTTCACTGTTTATGTTTCTTGTTCACATTATGTCTTGGAAATTGTTTCAATGCATGACTTGGAATCAGCCTCCACAGCAAGTGACGGTAGCAACCCTCCCCTGAATGCAATGTGTGAAAATATAGTCCTGCACAGCCATGTTACAATATTCTCAGGTTAGCATAGATAAGTGAGCAGGATTTATTAGTGTTCATATCACAACAGATGGGATTTCCTTGGTGTTTGCAGCGATGTTCCCAGTTGTTCCTCCAGCGCAGTTGCTTCATCTGCAGTGTATGCATTACACACCATCCCTTGCAGAATGAGATCATGTTGTAACAGGTCAAGTTTCTTTCACAAAGAGTCAACACACAGGTTGAAATCAGAGGTGGAAACTATCAAACTCAATCATGTCAAAACATCATTATGAGTGAGCAATTTGGGTTTAACACCGCGTTTAACAGTATTCCAGTTATATCACGGCATGTCAGCTTAATGTGGGAGGAAAGCCCGAAGTGATGCAGGTCTCAGACGTTTACCACTTCGGTGAAACCCACGAGCACAGGTATGGTGCTGACAAACCTAGAAACATAATCGGGGCAAACTGGGATTCGAAACCACAATCATAGGTGCATAGGTCTGCACAGCGAATCGCAGCACCCTAAATGACTGGGCCACCCATGCCCCCCTCATCATTTTGAACATATATGGAGACTGATTTATCAAAACGAGTGTCAGTCCAGAGTGAGAGTAATACATGAATTCTTACACAAGTTTCGTATGACACACATGCTTGTATAATAGTCTCTCTGTTACCAATTTCTTAATCCTTTTGAGCTCCCCTTTAGAAAAGTGCACTGATCATGACCGCCGCCATAGAAAACCACAATTGTCGAATGACGTCCACAATCTTCAGCTAAGACGTTTCTAGTGTGATGTCATTCCGACCTAACATCACAAAAGATTTGAAAGATGTCAACTATGCCGTCCAGAAGTTGGAAACAATACACTGATGCACTTGAAGCGCTACTTGCACGAGTGCACGTACGATTTTTATAAACTTTTTGATATTTGTAACCATATGGGCAATATATATACTACTCCAAAGTTATAGAACACCTGATATTTTCAGGGCATAGTTAATCTATCATGGCTGGTGCGTAGTGCAACCCACAGCCTTCCAATTGTGGGTGTTCTTTTACTTAAGAAGTGTATTTTCATCTTGGCTTGCCAAGGTAAATCTCCCCATTTCTGCCCAGTAGATACTTTTTTTCTGATATCTCCCATAATCTACATTGACCAATGGTTTCCATGTACAAATTAGTTATTTCAATACGAGATCTATTAAATACACTACAGTATCATACAATATATACTGAAGTACTTCTCCCTGATACAAAGCATACCATGTTTGGCCCAGTGCACAAATCTACACTTAAACAGGCTTCCCACCACAACGCCCACATGCTGACAACGATGCATTGTTTTCAGTTTGTGCACAGTTTGTGGAAGGGGAGCCAAAGTGGACGTTCCCTATAATCAGCAACACAATGCATCAGTCAAAACAGATTTGACCTGACAAACAGTCAACAGACCAATCCGTGTTTACAACATGTAACATGACACGTACTTCACAAGATCACATTACCACTGGACCCGTGAAGATCCGGGGTAGAATAGGTCCTCAGCAACCCATGCTTGTCGTAACAGGCGACTAACGGGATTGGGTTGATGCATGTCATCGTATCCAAACTGCATGGATCAATGATCGTGATGTCAAACATTGGATTGTCTGGTCCAGACTTGATTATTTACAGACCACCATCCTATACCTGGAATATTGCTGAGTGTGGCGTTCACAACATAATCACTGGATTCTCATCCATATGGGATCTAAGGAGGTTCTGGGGACCTATTCCACTCATGAAAAACAGGCATGATCATACAGTTTCTATAGTTGCTAAAGGAAAGCCACTCACTGTATGACAGTAAGAGTGTCCTCTATAAGGAACCTGACATGCTACATACTCCCTGACAAGTTATGTGATAGTCATGATAAATTTAAGTTAACAGATATAACAACAAGACTAATAAGAATGAATAAAATGAATACCCTCACAGTTACAACAATGACATGTTTAAAAACTCAGAATTAAGAATTTCTCTGTTACCATGGTTACTATAACCTGGAAACAAGGCTAAAAAAATGAATACTGAAACTATTTCTGGCTAATCTGCAGCTTACAAGCAAGCCATCATCTTGACCTTTTTACTTTCAGTCAGGGAAAGTAACCATGGTAACGTGACATACATGCAAGCCCGTATGCAATGAACCCATGTAGCCAAAAACATTGTAGACATATATAAAATTCACATAAGCAATAACTTCTGATCTGTTCTGGGATTGAAACAAAAGATACATATTATTTTCCTGCTGTTGGATGAATAAGATAGAAAAACATGCCTCACACATCACTAACGTGAAGGTGGTCGCCTTCATCAGCAGTATTGGTGTTCCATGTTGGGTGGAATATTATGACAACACAAACCTTCACAAAGTTGAACAGAATACACCACATGCAGACTCGACACTACCTAGCTGGATCAACACGAGTTTAAAAATAACAAAGACAAACAAAACTCAATCTCATTAAAATCAGACCTTAGTTCTCGCTACCACTGAACAAAGATCTGAAGACATCCGATTACGGGTCACGTCAGAATGACCTTTCATCCGACCAATGAGAGCGTCGCTTACCAGATCATGAAAGTGACAGTCGGAATGTGATACAACCTCGAAAACTTTAACAGGGGGTATTCCAAACAATAGTTACAGGTTTAACGACTGAATCCATACAATCTAGAACCTCCATTAGCCATTCCACAATGTTCTTTTGTTTAGGTTTCAAGTTTGTAATCGAGAATTTTTCAAAATATGTTTGAAGCGTAGTCGCCAATTTGAAATTAATGCCGTAAAGCACGAGAAAGCTGCCTTCTGATTGGCCATTCTATTGGTCAGTCAAAGATCGTGCAAGGTCGGTCTGCCGGGACCCGTAATGGGATGTCCTCAGATCTTTATTTAGCGGTAGCGAGAACTAAGGTCTGATTTTAATGAGATTGAACAAAACTGATTCTCAATTTGCCCACTTAAAACCACAACAAAATACACCTCTCCCTACTCACACATTCAAGGGGACACAGTTCATTCCCACAGACAATACTTACACTTGACATAACACCTCTCATGGTTTTGCTAATTTCTGAAATTTTATAGGTCCTGTCTACTAAAAGTGGGCAGTTGTACCTCATTCACATTTCCAGGTTAACTCATTTGTAAAGCGATATGACCTTATTTCAGTCAACTAATTCCATGGTTATGCTATTTCTAACATATATATATTCAATACTAAATCAGGCTGAATATTTGTTTCCTGGCAATGTTGATTTACAAACAGATATTGGTTTGCTATTTTAAACTCCACTTGAACCTCAAGTATTATCAACAATAAGCACGACAATTTACCAGATTCTATTTTGATGTGTTCAACATGTTCAAGCAGAAACGTCCTTGCTGTGATTTAAACTCCTGTTAATGCTGATGCTGTTCTTAATGAAAAGTTTAAGGTGGAAAAATGTTCCATGTTCCAGTAACCATTGAAAAACTTGCATGATCTCAATTTTGTTAGTGCAAGAATACATGGAATAATACTGCCATGCTTTCATTTTTGTCTCACATACTTCAACAGTGTTCACAATAACTGCCTGTCTGCGGCTGTAACATTTGTTGGGCGGCATGAAATTTAGCTCCACCTGCCCGAATTTAAAAATTTAAGATTATTTATGTATTCAGTTTTATTATGTATATTAATACTCCTTGTAGATTCTCAAGTGATTGTTTGCAATATTTCAACTGAATCAAGACACGATTTGTCTCTTATTTTCTTGCAATTTTTCAATACCCCGGTGTTTATAATGTCTGAATGTGGGCAGGTAACTTTGAAGATGGACAACACTTACAGGTCACCAAGGTTACCAGACTCTTGATGTGTTTTAAAACTATTTCAAACACAAATGTACTGTAAAATGTACTTCAATATTTGAACAGAGGAATACTGGTGTGCCCCATTACAGAGAACTACACAAGTAGAGAAGGATCTGACTCGCAATGCCAGCTTGAAGCTTGGACAGGCCTAACCACCCTTGGTGTTTGCCAATACAAAATATATGATTTCAAACTCAATGATATCGGAGATTTGATGATTGAATTTAACTGGCACAAATCACATATTTACGATAATTCAAGAAAATTGACAATTTTGTGATTGCTTTAGTCTTAACCCTGTAGGTTTGAAAATGTCAGGATATATTTTGAAAATAATGTGTATTTTAATGTCAGAAGTAAATGCGGAAAATGTCGATTCATCTGTACTATGTTTAATGTAGCCTCAAATGTTTGACATCAACAAGCTTCTTTACAGTGCCTAAAACAAATTCAGCAGGCAGGGTTAAAAACTGTCCAGGCTGAAACATTTTATGTAGCCAAGAAATAAACATGGTACCACAGGAATTAACACAAAAAGTTAGTGCTTGTTTATCGAGTGATCAACCAATTGGTTACATTTGGACATTTGTGCGGTAGCTACTTCTTCCCTGCGAAACTTGAAACTTTTTACTACAGATTGCATTGGATTAACTTGCCTTATGATAAGAAAGTGGTACATAAGCGTAAGGATCGTCAGTGGGCTTTTCATTTGCAAGGGGTACTCAACTATAAAGACTGTGGCTTTGTTTGATCATGTTGAACAGAAAGGGGATCCAAGGGCTAAGTGACCCTAACACATCTAACCCTAATGATCGAACATGCACATAAGATCAGTGAAGTGAGAGCCACAGGCAGAGCTGATTACCCAAGCGCTATATATCGCTGGGTCTGGTAAACCAGGGTAAACTGCAGTCTTGCCTACAAGTATCCTTCACAACAAATGTCAAAAGTAACAGGCCAGACATACCAGGCAGTCTAAAGATGTGAATTACTGAGAATCAATGTCAAGGTGTGGGGAAAACAACATTCACATACTAATCCACGTTGTGCTAGTGGCCGAGAATCATTCACTCAATTGTATCCTCCTCATCCACAGTGATGGTCAGCATATCCTCCTCCCCCTCCCCTCCACTGACCAGGGACGTGCCTCCCTGATGGCTGCCAGTGTTAAGGTGCTCCCTCTCACCGGAGGTGTCAGGAGTTAACTCCCCTTCTGACACACTGCTGTTATCACTGTCACTCTCTCTGTGGAAACCGTTACTATGGTCAGGGTCCATTTGCATACTGGCACTGTTATTTTGGCGTTCGTGGTTATTGTTGGATGTCTCGCCGTTCATGCCACCTAACTGCCGTGCTTCCTGGATTCTCTTCTCTTGGCGTGTCCGTCTCTTCCTCGCTTTCTTCTCAGCACTGAAATAACAACCATGTCAAACAATGTATATCAATTTTTGGTCAAAAGAACTGGAGTTAGTAATAGTATTGTTCAGTTTCTACAAAACTACAAAGAAAAAAGTTTTAAACACTGTAATATCAATCAAACCAGTATTTCAAAACTATTTCTTGTATTGTATTTTATTCTGCAAAGCAATACAATAAACAGTCAAACATGATACACTGATATTGATAATGCCTAAAGAAATAGGCTTGATTTCTTTATTAATTGTTCAAGGATAAGTGAACAGGATGCGATTGCATTCCAGTACAGATTTACTGACTTCTTTCTCCTGATATGTTCAATGTACATCTTGTCATTTTCCTCAAAGACGTAGTCTATGTCAGCCTTTGTAACGTCCGAGTCCGACTTGAACAACTGTAAAAACACCCCACCGGGACTACGGCGCCGACTACCATCCTGCAACACAGACACAACACAATGGAGATTGTGTGACAAAACAAAACATTGGGGGTGAACTGGGATTCAAACCCACAATAACAGGTTTGTGGCGTGCCCAAGGGATGCAACTCTGCACAGCAAAATGCAGTGCCTTAGATGATTGGGCCACCCGTGCCCAAACCCTGAAAAACAGACGCTGGCACGGCAAAAGGTTTTATGAGCAATGAGTTTTATGAGCAATGCAGTTCTAGAGTTAGACACTGCCAATTGTTTGTTAGTCTGAGACTTGTACAAATCCAGAGTGTCTAGTTGCTTTCTATCAACATCTGGTGATTTTACATAAACCACTAGTCCTTAATGAGCTGCAGACAAACTGGACTTGACTTATGGTGTCTATCCCTGGTGTGCACAGCTTTATTCTTACCTTCACCAGCATTCCCCCGTGGTCCTCTACATCTTCGGTCTGGCGGAGGAGCTGGATGCTCTTCTTCTGACCGAGTCGCTTCACAATCCGAGCTGGAAAGTAGAACAAGGAAAATTACCAGTAAACAATGTCAAAAGAACAAGAGTTAGTGAGTGAATGTTGTTTTACAGTCAGTAACATTCCCACCACTGCCCAAACTCATCAAAATCAGATCTAATTTCTGGTGATTCTGCCGCTAACAAAGATCTGTGGACATCCCATTACGGGTCACGTCAGAACGACCTTTCACGAACTTTGACCGACCACTGAAACAACTAACAAGAAGTCGACATCAGCCAATTAAAAAGCAGCTTTCAACAGCTTTACCGCACTCGTTTCAACCTGACGACCTCCATTTCAGACTACGCTTGAAAAATATGTTGACGCAGTTCTCAATTAAAACTGTGAAAACTGAACAAACGAACGGAATACTTAATATATGATTGAGATTGTATGGCAGTGCTTCCCACGTACTATGTAATGCCTCCCCTATTCAAATGTGTATACCACGGAAACGAGAGACAGACGGAATCAGTCATACGCGCAGTAACTGGCGTTCGCAATACCCTGTGTTATCGTTTTCGAGGTTGCATGATTAGAAAACACATTCCGACCATCACTTTCATGATCTGGTAAGCGACGCTTTGATTGGTCGGATGAAAGGTCGTTCTGACGTGACCCGTAATGGGATGTCCTCAGATCTTTGTTTAGCGATAGTGAGGACTAACATCTGATTTTAATGAGATTGACCACTGCCTGTTCTTAACCATTCCAAACCAGTGATTGGTGGCATGATCAATAATCAATAATCAATGCCACTGGGGCATGATGACAATCAGCTAGGTCACAACCTGATCCTCACAACCTGAGCTCTTCCCATAATTACAAATAAATCTGGGTTTTGGGTGACCTAGTTTCCCTGGAATCGGCTCGACGAACAGGAACAGGAAATTAATTGGATTGATTGAAAGGGTATATCTACCATGTTCATAACCCCTTAACTAGAAGGATGATTTCTAAAGGGTATGCTCTAAAATAAACCTCTCACAAAACAACAACCTCATAGTTATTCCATGTATTTCAGTCCATTGTTTACTTTCAGCCTTAATAAAACATTCGCATCTCTTTTGGAAGAATCAGTGCAAACCCATTTCCACATACCATGGCCTTTTAATCTAAGTCAGTAATACTCTGATACTAGAACTAATCATGCTAATATCTAAGATTATCCAGTTATTCATGAAAATGAAGATTCAAAGCACATACTTATGAGATCAATTTTAGGTTCATCAAGAACCTCCACAATAGCATCTACAACCACTGGCACTGGGTCCTCCTCTGACACACTGACATTCGGCCTGGATCTTGGCCCTTGATAGTTAGACTTGTATTTCCCTGAGTTTGAACCAAGACGGCCTTTGACTGACCCCTTGGATTTGTGTCTATGTTCATGCATCAACTTCTCCCCTAACCTATCAAGATTAGACTGATCACCAATTCTGTCTTTCACGGGACGTTTCCGCTTCCGTTTCTTTCTCTCTCTGTTCTTGGCATCTTCATCTGGGTCTAAATCTACCACCCCACCAAATAGTTCATCGTCAGACCTATCCATTTCATCTTCCTCCTCACGGGCAAAAGGTCTCGGATCTTCACGAGCTTTTTTGTAGTTATAACTCTCTACATTACGGTCCTGAGTGTCAAGGTCGTCATCAGAGTCTTCTTTGTCAACACCGAAACTGACCATGTTCTGTGTCAGAGACTGCTCCTGCAGCACAGAGCCCCAGATGTTGTTTGTCTTCTTCTTGGGGGGTGACTGAAGCACTGGTGATGATCTGTGTCTGTCCCGCAAGGGGTTGAGGAACAGGGGGGACTGACTCCTGGATGCATCAATCCCCTCCATTTTGAGCTTATTGAGGTATTTGGTTCTCTTGCAGTTCCACAAAGGGGAGTCTTCATCACTGGTGTCAATTGAGTCATCGGAGCTGTTACCATTCCTTGCAGAACTACGGTGTCCAAAGGAGTCAGCTGGGGTTGGTGAATCTCTGTGCCGTGAGAAGCTGAAGCCCTGTGGTTTGGCTTGGTTGAGATTAGATGGCACGGATGAGGATTGACCAAAACTGTACACCTGCAGAAACAAATAATATCCATATTATCAAATCTGAAAATCATAATTTTGTATGCCCACAGTGCAAAATGTGAATATGATCTTAATGATTAAGCATTCATTTGTTCATTATTTGGTTTACAGATTTCCCTCTCTCTCAAAGCATACAAGAGTAAAAGATCTGATTATAATGAGATTGCTTCTAGCAATATTTCATTCAAAACTAGTTTCATGATCATGATGATGGGATGATAAGCATAAGCATGATAACATGTACATGCTCTAATCATGTGATGTGTGCTGAACACACCAAAAACATCATTAACATCATTGCGTCAAGTGAACTTTATAATTAGCCAATCAGCACCAGGTTTCAAAATTCTCAGTTCTAAGTGAACGAAGCAATAAAATTGTCTGTGGCCACTCATCTACTAGTAGTTTACTACTGTTTGTCTAACACCTTACTTGGCAATATTCCAACCATATGACCATGACAATCGCCTGAAGATAACACAGTCTTGAAAAGACAATCCAGTGATTGATTATATAAGCAACATGATGGATTGAACATCCAATTTTGTTCAGGTACAAAGACAATATCAGCCATTTTGTCCATGTCACTCTAATCTACATGGGTGAAATAATCACCGTTCTTATTCACAAGTGAATAAACGTAGTTGTGACAGTGTGTAAACCTTTACTGACATTTCACAATGCTTTCAGATACTACCTTGCTTATAAGCTTGGTGCAACCATTGTCATTTAGTATAATACGGTATATGGATCGTCACACTTACAATACATACGTCCACCTGCGAACATATATGTTCGTATACTGTTTTGAACCATGTTGAACAGGTTGTTTTAAACTATCCATTCCCAGAATTTTGTAAACAAGCAGTAGACAAGCATTTTATTTGGTGGTAGTATGCTACAGTCAGCATTGTTTTCATTTGTCACGTGCATATGTGAACAGCAGATGAAGAATCGTATTTTCAGTGCAAAGTTAACCAAATGATACGCGACGACCAAGCACTGAACATAAACGACAGCTTATGTAATCCAAAAATATAAACGCACGTTATTGCCTGTGACAGCAGCTGCAGGCACTTCTGAGTCAGAGTCGGCTATTTCACCTTCTTCTAAGTCCGCCATCGCACAACGATCGTTTCCGGTCGTTTATCTTACCGTTAGAGTTACTCCCCTTCGTTGTACAATCGGATAACATCGACAGTTTCCGTTCAGCCATGTTAAGATTTGAAGCGAACAAAATTACTTCACATTTATATCTATATTTCGATCGTCATATGATAACAAAATAGATGAACACAGAAATTCACAGGATTAACATTTAGACCGGCATTACATGTTGTATACAGTTAGATATATTTGATGAAAAATGTATAATAAGTTCGATCCTTTTAACTGTTTGTTCTATATTTCAGAAGCGCTTAATCCATGTGCCATAGACTTTATCTTTTTTTTGTCAAGGACATCGTTTATCAATTATATGGTTTCCGGACACAAGTGACCACGTGTTTCTTCGTCCGAGTTTGGCAGCATTAACAATTTTGTGCCGTGTAAACTGTTTTAATCTTTCCATTTATTACAAACGACCTCGTGTGGATTCCAAATTAGAATGGATCGGTGGTCAGGCTCGGTGACTTGGTTGTGTTCTCGTTCCCGACGACGTGGATCGTTGCTCACAATATCGATCCCTGGATTGTCTGGTCCAGAATCGATTATTTTCATGCCGCCGCCATATAGCTGGACTATTGCTAAATGCGGCGTTGAATAACAAACAACATCTGTTCGTTTTCAATAGCGAACGCTAAATATTGGTATTGGATAGGCTGTTAGTTTCGCGACACAAAAATGACCGCTTATGTGTGCATTTACAACAACAAAATATATGTCTTATGCGCAAAATCAGCTGGAGTTTTATTTGGGCCTGGACACTACTAAATACATTGTTTCCACTCATTGGTAATTTTGTCGTACCTTCAATCTTTTTTGGTGGACCTTTCTGAGCCAATTTCACTACATTGATTAAAGTTGAGGAAATTATTTGTATCATGTTCGTTTGATGTATGAAGTTTAACGTTCAAATAGACACTGATGTTTCTGAAGTGTAGTTTCAAGCAGTCGAGTGGAGATATTCAAATAAATAATTAACTTTATCGACAGTTTCACGAGTCCTCTTACGTGTCGGCTTCATAACCACGGAACAGGAAAACCTGAATCTAATCCGTGTAGATCCGGGTTAGTAGTTAGTAATGCGTGGTGCGAGATTCATAGTGCGAATGCATAATGTCCAGAGCACTCGTGTAAGCTGTTGAATAGGGACCACGCAGCTAATACGCTTGTGAAAATGGGGAATGCTTATGAAAAATCACATGTTCTGAATCGGTTCATCTGGAACGACCCGTGAAGATCCGGGTAAGAATTGATCACCAGCAACCCATGCCTGTCGTAAGGCGCGACTAATGGGACCGGGTGGTCAGGTACGCTGACTTGGTTGACGCATGTCATCGAATCCCAGTTGCGTGGATCGATGCTCATGATGTCAATCACTGGATTGTCTGGTCCAGACTGGATTATTTCCAGACCGCCATCATATAGCTGGTAAATTGCTGAGTGCGACGTTAAAAACAACAAACAAACAAAATCTGACGTTTGGTTGATGTCCGCCGTACAGATGGATGTACACACGCTCTCCGTATACGATCACGTAACACATCGTCACCTCACAGATTTGCAGAAAATATAACTCACCGCAGAATTAGACAAACCCGGAATTCATCTTTTTAATATCAATCAATACACAAATGTTCATGATTTCCAAGCTTTTCTATCGATTGTTTTCCCAAATGATGCCCAAACCTTTAACATGTGATTCAAACATAAAAAATATAAATCCTGCCATAAAACGAATCTTTAAAACAAAAATTCTCACTTTTAAACGTATTTGTGGTGTGTCTTGATAACATTAACTAAGTTTACATCTAACCAAAAAGAAATATCGGTGACACTATGCAGAAGTGTTTGCATATTTGTATGTCTTATGCAATGATAACTGTTTTAGTGACCGTTTGAGGAATTGCTTCGCTTCGGGTTCGGATTCGATTTTTCGAAAAATGAGTTATATAAAAAAACTTAGGTGGATATGGTTGTTTTTACCGCACAGTTTGGTTATTTTACCGCACAGTTTGGTAATTTTACCGCAGAATGTTGAATATTTTACCGCAGAATTCGTCTAGGACTGCCATATTAATACTACTCATATATTTTCCTTTGATAAACAAAGAAATTAACTTATCAAGCTCGAAGTCTTCTGTCAAATTATACTGTGTTCTTAACTTAAGGGGAATTAAATATTACCATTTGGACAAGAGAAAGTATTCCTACATAAGCTGCCGGGTAAAGCAAAATATGTTTGGTGGCTTCTAATAATGAAACAAACAAGGAAGGGTTATTCGATGGAGATGTATTTACATGCATCACATCAGTGTATATTCTCTCTTACAATTGGGGTCAGCCTGGAAACGTTTATGTAATACGCGCGGATAGTGTAACATTTTAAATTCTGGCCATTCGTTTCTTCCATAACTTAACATTTTCTTGATACGGATGAACTAATAATTTTCACAAAATATATCATATGTAAATAAAAGAGACAAAACCCTGTCTGAACTTAAGATATTAGCATGCTGTTTTATAAAGTCACGTATGACTATGTAACTTCTTATAGGTAAAGGTAACATAGGTAAAATGTGTGAAGCCGATTTCCTCACTTTATTTGAAAGATTACCATTGTCCGAGAGACATAAACTGGCGGGCAAAAGACAAAAAACACGTTTTGGGGCTTTTGGGTGGGAGTGTTTCGGCGACTGTTTTCAGAATGTTGGTGAATACTCTTGTGACACTGTAGAACACGTGTCTTTACTTGACATGGAACTCACCTTTCAAATTATGTTATTTTTAGCTTTATAGCATCACGGAGATTTCCGTGTCTATCTTTCACTGGCAGGTGTTGCTATCGTGACGTTATAAATCTCGTGATAACAGGCGCGAATATGTTAATCAATGAAAACAAAAACACACTTATTCAACTATTATGGCAGATTTGTTTACCGGATGACTATGTACACGGCCCCCGACCTTCCGCTCTCCGGGCGGACGCTCCACAACCAGACCACGGAGGCGGTTTAGAGGATGGGGACTATTTATTTAAAGTTTATGACTGTGTGTGAACTATTTGATTATCAAATTGTCTATCTTGAGGATAGATATCGAAGTTTGGTATTCCTACTCAATGTGTCTGCGAACGCGTACTGTGTATGTGCCGCTCGGAGAACTCTCCCCGGAGATTGAGGTAGAACTTCGTCACCAGATGTTCCTTTCCGTAACCTTGCAATGACACGATCAGCAGCAAAAGCCCGAGTATGTCTCACCTGGAAACGCCGTTTATTGTTATGCTTGTATTTTCTGAGAGTGAAAATCGAATAATTATGTATGTTCTCGAATACTGATAACGACTGTTGTCTTTGTACATCAGAACTGATTCTCTGGAGACATCACGTTGCCACCAACACAAGAGAACATTCGCCCGAACTCAGGACAGATTCGATACGGAAAGATTCGATCAGTGTCGAATGGGAATTATTCATAGTTGCGACTTATCTGAAATGGTGAACATCACGACTATATGAAGTCTTACAATTATTCCTTGCGCTGTAGGCAGATTTGAGTGAGTGAGTGAGTGAGTGAGTATGGTTTAACGCCGCCTTTAGCAATATTCCAGCAATATAACGGCGGGGGACACCAGGAATGGGCTTCACACATTGTACCCATGTCGGAAATCGAACCCGGGCCTTCGGCGTGACGAGCGAACGCTTTTACCACTAGGCTACCCGACCTGCCTCAGATTTGAGTGAAGGTTTGTGACGGCTTTGCCTTAACGCCTTGACGACACGCGGACCAAACTTCCGTCATGTTGACGCGGCGCCAGTGTGATTGACGAGCACCGTGTTTCTTATGATTGGCACTGGCATTCCGAATGACATTAACGAGGTGATTAAGTTTAAAGTCGCTTGTAAGAAATACCCCACCTAATATCAGCCAACAAGCTACCATTATGATTTTGTTTGGTTTGTTTGTTGTTTAAAGCCGCAATCAGAAATACTCACGTCATAAGAACTGTTTCCAAGTGCCCGTTATGCGCAGTGCGTGATTCGTAGTGCGAATGCATTATGTCCAAAGCACTCGTGTAAGCAGTTGAATACGGACCACGCAGCTATTACGCATATGGAAATGGGGAATGCTTGTGAAAAATCACATGTTCTGAATCAGTTCATCTAGATCTGGAACGACCCGTGTTGATACGGTTAAGAAGTTGTCTTCAGCAACCCATGCTTGTCGTAAGAGGCAACTAACGGGATCAGGTGGTCAGGCTGGCTGATGGATGCTCATGATATCAATCACTGGATTGTCTTGTCAAGACTCCATTATTTACAGCCTGCCATCACATAGCTGGAGTATTGCTGAGTGCGGTGTTAAACAAAACAAACAAAGAATAGAGTGCCTCATAATCTATTTATTTCACGCGCACATGGACACAGCCAATACTTACTACGAATCACGACAACGCATTACGCGCGGACTACGCGCACATGGAATCCTAGCTCTCATTTGACTCTAACGACAGATTTATGTGTCTGGGAACACATTTTACTCCCCACGGGGACTGTCATCGTGGACGTACAAGGTACATACATCTGACCGAGCGATAGAAAGTTTTTAAGTTTCGTAAAAATGGTATCTAACGAGAATGAGTGTGGTATTTTATGTATTAACCACGTTATATATATATTTAAGTGTAAATACATTACAACTTTCGTTCTTGACAGCCCAAACTTAAACCGGTTGCAAAATCTAGTTGTGCATGAATATTGATATATGCCCAAATAAGGGCATTGTTGACATTTCTATGCATACGCATAAACAACATGCGCCTGCAGTTGTGAAAATTTGAAAAAGTCACATTAGCGCCGCGCTTTGAATATCGGATCAACAGTCGTTCACTCGCACTGCCGCCTGTGCAGTCAAAATGAATCGGTTTTCTGGGTCTATCAGCCGAATTTGTATCCTGTCCGTACCAAAATGGAAGAGGGAATCAG